TAGGCGAACTATCGTCTGTACAGTATGTAAATTAGGTACCGTAAGTCTAATACAGTACTGTAATTTTATACATTTCTTGTGAAAGAAACATTTCTTATTCAACGGCCATAAAAATTATTTATATTAATGATGTCTCCAAAGGTCAATTTTTCGCAGAAAAATAATTTATCAGAAAACGCGGCCGCTGTTTGGTGCGCTGCTCCGCGACGAAAACAAGCGTAAGCAACGGCGATGTCGAACGGTGCACACTCGGTAAGTAATCCTACAATTTTTTGTTTATAGCATAGTTTATACGGATTATTCCCAAAAAATTATACGTGTTTTGGAAATGTTGAGTAGAATTAGTCTAGAATCGGTTAATTTTATAGAAGAAAACTTTTCAAACAGCCTTAGTCCGTAAACTTCACACGTGTCGGGCTGTGATTGGCTCATGTATTTAAGGATTCCTACAACGTGAAATTCGAATAACGTGGAACATATCTAAGCGTTATAGGAGAGTCTACTATATAAGACATGTGCAGTATTGATGAGTAAGAAGTGAAATCCAAACTAAACTAAAACTGTCTCCAAAAACAAGTCCAAATCTAACTCAAATCCAGATTTCTCATGACAATAGAAAACATCTTATTTTGTAACCAAATTCCAAACAATAATTTCTATTTAATAACTAACAAATCACAAATATCTGTCCCAAAACAAATTCCTGTTTAGTCTAACAATCAAAAATCAATATCTAAAATTTACCTATTATTTTATCATTATTCTAAGCTCAAGCATATAATTATAAGTTACTTTGAGAGTTGTTATTTTAGTAATGTAAGTAATCTTTGTTCAGTTTTAGAGCAGTTGTAAGATGCAAACTTTCTTCTATTGAGTCTAAGGGATGATTTTGCCAATTAACTATTTTCCTAAAGATAAAAATTAAATTGCACAGAACACATATAGCTGATGACAATAATTTTTTTCTATAACTGGCACTTATATTTATATATCATCATCTACTAAATCTATCAATTTAAATTTGTTCATGTCTAAAATTTTTAATGTTCTGTACCTGAAGCTGGTATATAAAGGCCAAAAACATTTTTCCATATAATAAAACATACCTAAAAATGCAGTGTAGATTTCTATTTTAAAAAAGTGGTTCCAAGAATTATGAAATTTAAAAGTAAGATGATACCTGAAATATGTTTTTGTGTCATGACTGCTTTAGCAGTCATGACACAAAATAGGCCTGTCTTTAATACAAGACACAAGCAATTATTCAATGCTTTTTCAGTCTGGAGATCTGTTTTGATTCTTTTGATGTTTATAATTTAAAATCAATATTAAATCTGGAAAAGAATTCCACAAACATTTAATAGAAATTATAAATGTTTTCAGCCACATATGTTGTTTTTGTTATTGCTACAGTTACTGTGTGTTTAGTGTGGCCCGTAGTCCTAGAATCATGGTAATATCTGCATATGTTCTGAATTGAAAAATTTAGGATTTTTATAAGGAAAAGAAACAATTATGTCACTAAAGTGTCAATGAAATGAATTCAAAAGAACATATAAATATAAATCTAGGGTCCAATATCACTACATATCAGTGGCGTGCCGTGACATTTGATGATAAGAAAGCTGTGTTTCTATAAGAAGCCGACTTCCAGGGGCAATCAGTTAATTCTTTCTTTAANAGTTGTAAATTATGCTACCAAAGTAACAGTTAATTTTGTAACATTATACAAGAACTGTACACGTTTTTTTCTACATCTCCTTAAAGATAGGACGTACGAAATCGTAATATCAATGGTTTAACATTGAAATCCGTGAGTAATATAAAGTCGGAGAGCGGAATAAATATATCAAATATTTTAACAGATTTTTTAAAACTCCTGTCAACTATACAGAAAACTATCATAAAAACATACAGGTAAATTCTTATCGGTTGGGTTAAGTTATAAATCTACTCGTGATTCGCGTAATCGGGCGAGGGCGGCCAAATACCTAGCGGGCGGGCGGCTAACAGCCCAGAACCGGTCCTGGATAGAATTGGATGAGTAAATCCACCCGAGGTCCTAGGCTTTCACCGGGTGAGGTTGGTGCTCTGTAAAGCGCATGCGCGAATCTGACTTTTTGGATGCTGACAATACAGCGTTTCCACTCCGCTACTCCGCCACTAATATTCGAATATACAATAGCAATCTTATCTTTTTTTTTCACGTGTAGTATAGAAATTTGTAATAAGAAACATAATGCGGTTATAATAAAATATTGTGCAATTATTTTCATATAATTAAAACTAATATGTATTTGTTTTTTAGAAAATGCAAGGGAAGCGGCGCATCCACCGCTTCTAATGGCACGCTACTGCGTACACACTGTTTAAATTGCCACCTTATTTGATTTCAAAACTATTATTATTTTCCTCTGTTGTTAATAATAAGAAGAGCAACTTAAATTATTATACCCTTTTAGTCATTTTTAAGCCTGTGTATTATAATTTTGTTACGGTCCAAAATTAAAAAATTGAAATAACTTTTAAACTAGTTATCATTTTAATCTAAAAATTTACTAAAATGTATTAAATTATACTTAAAATCCGTAGATATAAGTAATTTTTATAGCTTTTTAACCTAAAATTTAAAAAAACAGATGTGTTTATACATTTGTTACAGAATAGAATTCGGTGTATATTTATAGTAACTACAGAAACTTGCTCTAAACTCCACATTTTAAATGTCACCAGCCACGCGAATTTTTTGACAAGGCATAAAGCTACCTCTGCACCATGCCTTCCTGCTCGGCATTGGCGTGTATCTCTCTTAGTTGGATCCGGCCGCAACACACTGACGAGAAATCCCATCGAGACACTGCAGCACAGATCACCAAGGCTCCCTACCACGACGGGGAGGAAAAATTACCCCCTGCCTTGTTTGCATATTTCTATCCCGCTTTCCGTCACCGACCACGAGAAAAAACGAAAAACAAAATGTTAAAAAGAATTTTTCATATTTGTAACATTTTTTTTAGAAATTTAGAAAATGGTACTTATGGGTTGAGGACGCCTGTCGGAAATTGCGATTTTTCCGAAATGCAAGTTTTTATTTTTAAATTTTACTAGTCTGTTGTTATTTAGATAATTTCATTCAAAAACGCAATAATATGAAGTAGGAATTGCTCTCTATATATTTGTTAATATGTTAAAAGAAAACTATTGTTATAATAATTAAAATATTATTTGTAAAACATACATTTTTATTTTTTATTTGGTAACAGGGACTGAGTACAACACGACCTTAAAACTCTCTTGTTGTAAAGGCATAAAATTATCTTTGTTAGAATTGTCACCATTCATAATTTATTGCACTTGTTTGAAGAAATTCTAACAATTTGTAAACATTTGAAACAAGTTACATCATTTTTCAATCATTTGAAAAAATACGATATAAAATTTAAAGACTTTATTCAAGTTTTTGCATAATCATATCTTGAAATTTGAGAGAACAATTTCAATTAATGTGTTCATTATTTTCATTGATTACAATACATTGTATTAACAGACTGTAATAATTATAACAAGACCATCATAAAAACTATACTGAAATCATTGAATTATGTTAAAGACAAGACAGCATATCAGAATATTTTCATTTTTTACAAATACTCGTGTGTCTGTTTAAATAACTTCAAAATTATCTAAAATTGAATTATTCTCAATTTCAAAATGAGACACAACATGCATTTCAAAATCTTGCTGAGAGACAGTTTTTGGAAAAACTGCCTGACACATAGGACAGATACGATCATCATCATTCAGTACATTTGTTTTCTGATCTTCACTTAAAGCTGGATGGGTTTTGCTGTTATTTTCCATCAACAATTTGTCTTGCATATAAGTCTGCATTGGTATTGTATTCTCTACTGATAAATTACCCTCCTTGGATTTAGAAGAATTAAGGATTTTTTGTTCTGTTCTGATGACATCTGTAATAATACTCAAAGGGTTTACAGATGAAGTTTTTAATTTTTCATTAAAATTTAGCTTGCTCTGAGAATTTTGTAATAATTGTCCAGTGTTGTATAATTGCTGAGTGAAATATGCTCTAAAACTTTCGTCGGACGGTCTTGTGAACTGGAATTTTCTTTCAATATTTGATATTGTTTCGGAATCAAATTTATCATTTACATCATAGATCTTTGCAATATTTCTTTGACTCATATATGGAATAGGTGAATTACCTAAAGAAAAAAAACAGTAAGATTAAATGTAAAATATTTTTAAAATGAAATAGATATACATTAAAAAAATATATAACAAACTTAAATTCTAACTCAAGAAATTGATTACAAATATTCCTTAAAAGTTGTCAAAAATTAAAATTTACTTAATGCAATGCAGTTATAGTTTATATAAATATAAACAAAAGAAACAGTCCACCTTATAACTCCAGCACTGTATTTAATAAATCATGTTTTTGACCTAATATAAATTGAACATAAGACCATAGACCTTATGTTCATTTTATTTTAAATGGTGTACTTCACTGAGGAAGGCCTATGGTATGAAAATGTTATGATTTATTAAATATACTGCTGGATTTACAAGGTACACTGTTTCTTTTGTTTATTTCTCCAGTTAGATCTTACTTTGACTATAAAATTTTGAAACACACTTTCATAATGCTAGCAGGGTGGCAGGATCAGAGTCGGAAGCAATTTTGAGTAAAGTTGGATTCAGTAGGAGTATACCAACTCTTAACTTTGAAACAAAATCTTAAGAAAGTACTATTCTCATACCATATGATATTCTTTTACTTGTTACTCTTACATGCATAATTTTCTGCTATAACCAATTCTTAATTTTTGTTATATGGATAAAACACATGAGAGCTCATAGAATTTTGCCCAATACCCTACGCATTAATATAGACGAGCATAAACCGTTTGCTCTTTGGAAAAATGACAACAAAACTTCAGTGATTGATTCTGAAGGTAGTAATATCACTGAATATCAGAAAAAATGTTATAAAAGTACAATTGACATTACACTTAAATATAGTTATAAGTGTAAGTCTAAAACATATCCCGATGATTCAAATAGTGGCAATGAACTGGTTTATATATTATTTATCACTATTAATACACATTGAGTTTCTATGAATGAGTTGAAATTAATTTAAAAATTGAGTAGCTGAAATCAGGAGTCAGGTTTTGTCCACTCCACAGACTTGAATGCTGTTAGCAATAATAAGTCAATTATCATTAATTAAGTTAATTAAGTATCGTATTATAAAAAAAGTTATTTTAATATTCATAAACATTTACAGAATAATAAAAATTTGAATACTAAACAAGAAATTAAAAAATTCTAATGAGTACCTTGTGTATTAAAATTGCATGACTTATAACAATCCTCAAGAAAACAATACAGGAAGAAAGCCTCATTAAAATACACAAGGCACACATTAACAAAAGAAATATATATGGTATATATTTTAAGATATTTCTTTTCTAGATAATTTGAGAAATTATCATTCATTGTATGACAAATATTTTTTTCTCATGGCATCTGTAAATTTTTGCTACAAATTTCATTTCATTTTAATAAAATCAATCCAATAAACAAAGTGTTAATTTTAAAATAATTTTAAAATACACCATACTAACCTTATAATGCTTTGCAGTTTTTTCGGAACATAACACAAACATTTTCAGTCCACCCTAGGATTTCCCTTCAGGTAGAGTTCTAGAAAAAACCTTTTCTGATGTGATTAGCATTCTACTCACTTTCCGATGCATTCTAATTTCGAATGCTTCTATTTTCAAATTTCCTTTTTAAAATTTTAAATTCCTAACAATGTGCACCTGTATTGGCTGTTATAATGCTGGGTCATACATAGCCTACCATGCCTTCGAGAATTGCTTTTCACCCTTAAAATGATTGAAAGGCACTGGCATTCCACTTTAAAAATTTCTAATGCTTCCAAATTGCTAAGTTGGTTTACATGATGAGTTTGCCAGATCATGGTCACTTGTTGTAATTTGGGTGTAATGCATTTTTTAATAGCATATATAACTAAGGAAATAGTATTTTTCTTCTTTTCATTATTGGTTTTATGTTCATGGAGGCATTGTTTGAATGATCTTGTATATCCAATATATACAAGGTCTCTATTGAATCTGTTATCTTTGAGCGGAATTTTATACACCCCTGGTGCTTTTGATGTCTGCCCTATCCTTCTCATTCCTTAGCATGCCGAATGCATCTGGCTTATGTCTGTAGGCTATTTTTGAATTAGTGTAAGTTCCAATTTCTCGTTATAGAGACAGCATACGATGCTCATATGTTATAGTAATATGGTAGGGAGATGCATCTGCTGCAGACTATTTTCTGAGCCCTATTCAATTGAAATATAAACTGAAAACATTTGCAGTTATTTTGGAACATAACACAAAGCATTATAAAGTTAGTATACTGTATTCATCTCATTTTATTTTAATTATAGAAAAAATTTCATGCAAATAAAAATTAAGATAAATTACTTTGTTACATTGATTTTTTTATGTACTTTGCAAAATAATTTGTCTTAATTTGCACAATCTTTATTTACATATGGTTTCAGGAACATCATGTATAAGATCATGGTTTACATATGGATTAACATTTTTGAATGCTTTATATGCACTTAATATCAGTAAATGACATTTTATTTATGAGACAGATATTGCTGTCACAAATGAGAGATAAAAGCTTGAGCTGCCACGTGAGTTTTAAATTCTCTGTGTCTGTCTGTCATAACTCCTAGAATACTCTAAAAGGCTAGATATTAATGATTGAGGAAATTTGGTGTCATATCCAATAATTAACTGCTCTTGCATATGCACATAAATCACAAAAATTTTAAAAATTACATAAACAATTTATCATAGAATTTAATTCTTCCAATCTTACCTGGATTTGGAGACAATTTTATTTACTTTTAAATTAATAGAAAGGATACAAAATATACTCAGATGTAAATACAAAGAAGTTATACTTTTTAGAAGCAGAATTAAACTTAAACTGCATGAGGAGAATAATTCAACATAAAAAGGGTTAAGAAATATTTTATTTCTCTGTGGGCATTTTTGACACTGTTATGAATGCCATCTTCAGGCACAAATATGAATTGAAAAATATTTCTTAACACCTTTTTATGTTGAGTTATTCTCCTTGTGTATGTACATTTGTTGGCATGACATCCACCCTACGTATTTACATTATGTTATAAGAAACTTAAACTGAATAAATGTTCTTGAACTTCATATTCCAGTTTCAGATCAACAGATATATAAAAATGCAAACTGTAGTTTGAAGTCTTTTCTTTTTAACTGTGTGGATCTGAAACTGAAATTTTAGATTCTGAAATGAAATAAATTTCATTCTGGCTTCTATACATATTAAATTAGCTAACACTAAGTGAAAATAGAGCTGTTAGAGTTTGTAATTATAGTCAAACCTCAGTTTTCGAATGATTCATTTTTCGAACAAATTAGTTTGTGAACAGAATTTCAACAAATGCATCGGTTGCCAAACAAGCTATGTGGCAAGAGCTGGCCACAGATTAGAGAGACAAAGATGGTCAACTCTGTATACTTCCTATGTTAAAAGAAAGTCAATGGCCCAATCAATCAATGACAGGACTACTGATTTAGAAGTCTGTGGTACTTAGATCACCTCATGTCATTAGACATCACAACATGAATCATCAATGACATTGCTATTTAAATTAGATTTCAATATTCACGCGAGAATAATAATAATTCCATTTTTTGGTACTTGCCACAGATGAATTTAAATCAAATTAATTAATAACACCACATTAATTGACATTCATGTAATATAAATGGCATCCAAAAATGTATTTAATGGTGTTCAAATCAAATTAAATAACAAAAATTTGTTACTAAATATATTTAAGTACCTTTAAATATGAATTATTGGATGTCCTTTATATTATGCAAATGTCAATTAACACAGTTTTTATTAATTAATTTGATTTAATTTGAATTGTGATGTGTACTGAAAACCAGTAGTAGTATCTTACCCGCAAGCACATTGAGATTTACTTTGAATAACATCATCATTGATGGTTTGTGTTGTGATGTCTAATGATGCAAGGCAAATCTTGGAACCACTAGTGAATCAGTAGTCCTGTTGTTGATAGGTCAAGCTGTCAACTTTCTGTAACATAGGAAGTTGAACATCAATGGTTGCCTCTGCCAAGTTGGTTGTTCAGAAACTAAGTTACTATATGGCAACCAAAGCAAATATGGCATTCAAAGTTTTATTCGTAAACTGAATTGTTTGTAAACGGGCACTCATAACATTAGGTTTGACTATTTCATATCTGTATTTGTTATAAAAGTGCATTAAGTTTTGTTTTTAAACATTGCCTTTATAGTTGCCTAACTCCCATTTGCATTATTTCATAATTTTATATATATTTGAACATATTCAAAATATGTCATATTTCTGCTAGCATTTCAATCACAATCTGAGAACAGATAAAGATCTTAACTTATTCTTTACATCAAAAACATTTGTCTATAATTTAATTTTGTGTATTAAAGTTTATTTGTTGCTGAAGATATTTTAAAGTTCTTTTGAGAGTAGTGTCATAATATATTCAAATTTGAGTGCTAAATAAAATTCTGACGTATTGAAAAAAGCTTAAATGCAGGAACTATTCTATTCTCAGCACCGGGATGAAAATAATGTCACACTATCGGAACCTGTGACCGGTGCTCTATGCGTATACGTTAAATATCGCTTGACAAACGTTTTCGAGCGTTCTATTCGCTCTTCTTCAGGTCAGAGTTGACCTGAAGAAGAGCGAATAGAACGCTCGAAAACGTTTGTCAAGCGATATTTAACGTATACGCATAGAGCACCGGTCACAGGTTCCGATAGTNGTAAAATCCAAAATTTTCTGCAACAATTTTCGAACAGTTCTGTTCTGTTCCAAAGCACATTTTTTAATATTCCTTAACTGTTTCTGCTGTTCAATTATAATCTTCTCAGCTTCATTTTCAGCCAAAATTGTCTTATCTAGTAATTCATTTTCTGATAGAGCTTTATTTTCAATTTCTCCACAAGATTCACAGATTTCACTACCTAAAGATTCTAGTGATAATTTTTTCCCCAATTCTTCCAAATCTTTCATTTCTGTTTTCATTTGAGCAAACAGTTTTTGTGATATTTCTTCCCAGCTTTCTGAAACATTTTCTTTGGAATCAGAAATATTTTTCTTAGATTTACAGTCTGACAAAATTTCGGATCTTAGTGGTGTGCTTGAGAATGGTGCTATGGATTTTTCACTTTGAAATAACCATGGATAAGTATGAAAAGGTATATTTGATGCTCCAATTGGAGACTGAATATTATATCTAGCCTCACTCATAGATAACATTTCCATTTTTAATTTTTGATTTTCTAAGTTTAAATTTGTTTTCTCTTGAACTAGTGCAGCATTTCTTTCTGATATCATTAATAACTTAGATTTGATTTCTTTATTACAGTTTTCCATTTTTAATCTTTCTTCTTTAAGACTGTATATTTCTTGCTTTAAACTTATAACAGTATTTGATAATTCCTCTTTACACTTTTTTAAATTATCAATTTCTTTATCCTTTTGTTTTAATTTGTCAATAATTGACTTAGACAAAGCAGAATCATTTTCTTTTGTATTTAATTCTCCTAGGCACGCTGTAGACAAAGAGATATCTTTGTGGATATCTTGATAAAATGATTTATGGAATGCCATTATTTACCTGTTAAAAACAATAATAAATTAATTACACAAAGTTTGTAGAATAATATTGATAAAAAATATAAAATGAATTAACAAATATGACAATTAAGTGGCATTTCAAAATTTAAATATGACATTAAAAAATTTCTCTTTGAAATTATCAATGTCAAATTCAAGCAATCTCTATATAGAAATTAAGACCAACCAGGAAACTGGCAATAGCTACCAGTGCCACCCCAGTGTTAACAAAAGTGGGAAGAAATGAATGATCCATGGGCCTAGTATAACAAGTAAGTCAGATAGGCTTTTGGTACCTTTGATCCTGTCCCAGTTGATTACAACATCATTCAGCAGCATCTGTATCAGACACCAAGTGTGCTTTGTCTCAATTAATACTGAAATTATAGAAATGTGACATGCTTATGAAAATATTTTTTCGCACCTTGACCAAAACTTGTTAAAAACTAGAATATTATGGAAAAAACTAGACAGGATTTCTAGTTTTTATGCAAAAATCTCAGGTTTTTACATTGAGTCAAATTTAAATGAAGATTTTTTAAACACAGACTTCTGAAAGAAATTTGACTTCTCTGGTTGAACAACTAATCATGGCAAAAGTTATCATGGTGATGGTGACATATATACAAAGTCATCATCTGAGAAGAACTTTATAATTTGTAAAGTTATAAAAAGCAACCCTAACTTTCTCATTCTGATAAAATTATTGTCTTAAAACAATTAGTCTATGTTTTATTTTCTTCATCAACGTTACACTATCTGGAACCTGTGACCAGTGCTCTACGCGTATATATAGTATATCGCTTGACAAACGTTTCTACAAGATCTACCCTCCCCACCATGATTTATGACAGTCCTGGACTTCAAATCTATGTACCCCTCAATAGAGCTACCTCCAGCCTTCTGCTCCCTCAGAGATTTTTTGTTTAATACAGTTCAAGACCAAGCACTATACCAACAGGTACTCGAGGTGGCCCATCTGGCGTGTTACGACTCTGTTTTTAGGTTCAGCGACACTATCTACCGGCAGAAAAAGGGTGTACCGATGGGTAGCCCACTCTCGGGCGACCTCTGTGAAATGGTTGTCAGACAGCTCGAAAGTAATGCCCTCCCACCTTTCCTTCCTAGCATCCTGATTTATAACAAATACGTGAACGACATTCTTATCGTATGGAGAGAGGTCCCTGACATGACATCTTTCGTCAGAACTGTCAACGTCAACCTTTTCGGCCTAACCGTTGAACTGGAGCAAGCTAGTACAGAAGAAGTCCTTGACATTGGAATAAAAATAGTAGGACCCACCATCCACACGGTCGTATATCACAAGTAGGGATTGCAATTGCTGGATCCCTCATCCAGCAATCCAGCTGGATCCAGCGCATTCTTCGACCTGCTGGATCCAGCATCAGGTGCTGGATCCAGCGCTGCGGATCCGCAAATATTCAATTAACTTTCTAAATAATGGCGCAAAAATCTACGTTATCGGTGTTCCCGCGTTTCTACGTGTGCTATTGCTCGGCGACGAGGGCGACATTGCCATTCAGTGTGTCACATGCTACACCCTCTCTCTACACCGCACTGCCTGCCTTTTCACCTCTGCTGATCTAATTGCCAATTGACTTTCCACTCTCACTAAATAAAGTGTCTTCGCGCTAAATAAAATAAGTAACTCCTCTCCTAGTCCTGGTGCATAATTCTAATTTACGGTCGGTTGTGACGTCAATGAATCATGTGACGGAACGATCTCAATTTATTAATTAAGCCTATGGAGAGCTGCAGCCTCGCGCCTTGTCCACGAAACCTAACCTATAAACTGGCCGTAAAAGCTCTCTGTAGAAGAGAGTCGAGTTTGATACCTGCTGACACAACCTTGAAATTTATCTTACACATACTAAAAATCCAGGACACAATCTTGAGTGCCGACCTTTACGAGGCACCCCGCAAAAGAATCAGAGAACGGCGTCTTATCGAGGTCACAGGGATGCTGATTTACATACAGAACCCGAAGAAGTATAACCAAAAAGTTAGAAAGCCCGATTATTCTTTCACAAT